GGCTGTTTCAAACTCCTGGGCTCAACCAACCCCCTCAGACCACAAAATCCCAAGTAGCTGGAACTTCTTTATTTTCAATGTGGTTACAAATGGAATAGTTTTACTGATTTGCAGATTGTTTGTTGTTGGGGTAAGAAAATGCAACTGAAGTTTGTGTTGATTTTATATCCTGTCACCTGCTTTTTCTGAGCTGATATGCCTGTAGGCAGGTTCCCCCTTGTTCTGTTGATGTGGTACATAATGCCTACTGATTCTTACTTGAGGCATCCTTACATCCAGGAATAAATATCATTAAGTCACAGTGCATCACTGTCCTTATACACTAGTGTATTCTCTTGAGGATTCTGCATCAAAATTTGCAAGGGAAATTGGTCTTTAGCTCTCTCTTCTTGAGGTGGTATCATCTAGATTTGGTATTGAGGTTTGTATTGGCCTCACAGTTAGGAAGTGCTTCCCTTCTTCAGCATCTTGGAGGATGCTTGGTAGAATTCATCAGTGAAGCCCAGGAGGGCATTTCTTTAACACAGGGCTTTGATTATAGACTCAGTCATATGCGCGCGTGCGCACACACACACACACACCCACCCACACACACACATACACCGTTGTTTATTTACTTTTATGTGGTATTGGGGATTGAACCCAGGGGCTCACTATGCTAGGCAAGTGCTCTACTGCTGAGCCACAGCCCCAACTCCTAGATTCAGTCTTTAAAAGCTGTGGTCTATTGAGATTTTCTTAGCTTTTTCATTTATCTTCTGGTGTTGGGGATTGAGTCAGGGTTAGGGTTAGAGCACACGCTCTACCAGAGCCAAACTCGCATCCCCAAGATTTTTTCTTTCTTGGCACTTGCCTGGCAGGTTTGCAGGTATTTGCACATTTCGTTCTGGTTGTCAAATTTGCTGATGTACAGCTAGCTGTCCATCATACTTTCTTATAATCCTTAGTCAATAGCAAGGTCCTCTTTCTGATTTTAGCAATCTGAATTTTCTTTTCACTTAGCCAATCTAGTTAACTGTTCATTTGTTACTCTTCAAAGAACTAAATTTTGATTTTTTTCTTATTCTTATCTAAGTTTTTAAAAAATATTTTTATTGTTGATGGACCTTTATTTATTTACATGTGGTATTGAGAATTGAATCCAGTGCCTCACACATGCTAGCCAAATGCTCTATCACTGAGCCACAATCCTATCTCTTAAGTTTTTCAAAATAATAAAATCTAATTTTTTTCTGTTAGCTTTGGTTTTAACTTGTTCTCTTTTTCCCATTTCCTTAAGGTATCTGTTTAGGTTGCAAATTTGTTTCTTTTTAAAATAGAAGTATTTGCAACTATTCATTTTCATCTGGCACTGCTTTTGCCACAACCCTTAAATTATGGAATGTGATTTCATTGTCTCATTTTCTAATTTCCCTTGTGATTTCTTCTTTGTATCATTGGTTCATAAACCTGTTTAGTTTCCACATAACTGTTAATTTTCCAGTTTAAAAAGTATTTTTAGTTGTAGATGAACACAATACCTTTATTAGGCTTATTTTTATATATTTATGTTGTGTTAGGATCGAACCCTGTGTCTCATGCATGCAAGGCAAGTGCTCTACCATTGAGCTAGAAGCCTTTAATTTTCCAGTTCTTTTGTTACTGATTTCTAGTTTCATTCCATGGCAATCAGAAGAGAGTCTGTATAATTACCATACTTTAAAATTTGTTCTTGGGCTGGGTATGTGGCTGTTGGTACAATGCTTGCCTCGTATGCACAAGGTCCTGGGTTCAATCCCCAGCATAATTAATTAATTAATTAAAAATTTATTCTTATCTGGGCAAATAGCACACAGCTCTGTGGTCCCAGCTACTCAGGAGGCTGAGGAAGGGGAATCACATTTGGAGGTCAGCCTCAGCAACTTGAGGCCCCGTCTCAAAGAATAAAAAGGGCTGGGGGTGTTGCTCAGTGGTAAGTGTCCTGGGTTCAATCTACAGTGCTGCAACAAAGAGTGCATCATCTTGTCTTATCCTGATACATGTTTCCTCCTGGAGAATGTTCCACATGCACTTGGAAAGTGTGTGTGGTATTGTTTTTGAGGGAAATGTCTTCATGTCTGTTAGGCCCGGTCAGTGACGCTGTTGGAGTCCTGAATCTCTTTACCAATCTCACCTCATTGTTCTATTCTGTATTGAAAGGAATACTGAGGTCTCCTATAATTAGGCAATCATTGTTCTCTTCAATTGTCAATTTTAGCCTCATGTATTTGTATGGGCTATTTTTTACAGATGTAAACATATAATTATTGTTAAATATTCTTGCCATGTTGAACCTTTCAATATCTTTTTAAAAAACTATTTACAAAGCATTTTGTTTATTGTAAACTTCTTATTTAAAATTTAGAATATTTTGTCTGATATTAGTATATTCACTTCTGCTCTCTTTTGGTTACTATTTTCAAGAAATATATTTTTTTACCCATTCACTTCCAACCTATTTGTGTGTTAAATCTGAAGTGAATCTCTTGGTGATAGCACATCATTGGATCATGTTTTCTAAATCTATCCCGTCAACTTTTGCCTTTTGATTGGAGAATTTAATCCATTTACATTTAAAGTAAGTGCTGATAGGGAATGACTTATTTTTGCCATTTTTATATGTATTGTTTTTGTTCATTTCCTCCATTACTACCTTCTTTTTTGTTCAGTTAAGTTTGTTACTATGACGTTTTAACTAGCTTCTCATTTCCATTTGTATACATTATAGCTATTTTCTTTGTGGTTACCATGGGCGATTATATATAATATCCTGAAGTTATAACAATCTCTTACATTTCTTGTTGTAGTAAAGCACACATAAAAACTTACCATCCTAGCCATTAAGTGTCTAGTTCAGAGATGTTAAACACATGCCACCTGTTGAGAAACATCACTATCATACCTTTCCATAACTTTTCATTTGGTGAAATCTGAAACTCCACACCAGTAAACAATGTCTCCCCATTCCTTCCTCCCCCAAGTTCTTGGCAACCACCATGTTAGTTTTTGTTTCTATGATTCTGACTACACTAAGTACCACATGAAGGTGGAATCATACTATTTTCCGGGGCTGGGATTGTGGCTCAGCAGTAGAGTGCTTGCCTAGCACATGTGAGGCTAATAAAGACATTGTGTCCAACTACAACTAAAAAATAATAAATATTTAAAAAAAATTTTTAAATCATAGTGTTTTCCTTATCATGGCTGGCTAACTCAGTATGATGTTCTCATTCCATGTCACAGAATGTAAGAATTTCCCTCTTTCTCAAGTTTAAGTAACATTCCACTGAGCGTGTGTGACACATCTGGCTCACTGGTGCACCCATCAATAGACAGCTAGACTGTTTCACAGGTGTGAACAATGCTGCTGTGAACATGGTTATGACAGATATCTCAAGACTCTGCTCTCAATTCTTTTGCATATACACCAAGAAATGGAATAGGATATGGTGCTTCTCTTTTAAAAATTTTCTGACAAACTGTCATATTGCCTCTCAGAGCAGCTATGCCATTTCACATTGCCACCAGCAGTACACAAAGGTTTCAGTTTCTCCATACTTTTTTGCTATTGTCATTTAAGATTAGCCATTCTAATTGGTGTGAGGTAGTTCTTCCTTATTTGAAGGAGACTTTCAGGTACAAAATTTTCTTGGTTGATAGTTTTTTTATTTCAGTTTCTTAAATACATCATTCCATTGCTTTCTGGAATCCATAGTTTTTTTCCTGTGGAGACAGTTTTGAATAATCTTTTTCTTGCTTTCTGCCCTTTTTTTGTTGGTACTGGTGACTGAAACCAGAGGCACTTTAACACTCAGCTACACCCCCAGTCTTTTTTATTTTTTAAAGACAGGGTCTCAATAAATTGCTGAGGCTGGCGGCATTACAAATACAAGTCTCCTCTTTACTCTGTCCAGGAAACTAAGTAAGAAGACAAAACAAGTCAAGAACAACGAAAGAGATCTACACACATAACATCCAATGACAGCCACTAGGCCAGACACTGGCCTGGTCAGATGCTGCAGTCTTCCAAGCTCCTCCCAGAAGGCAAGAGTGCCTGGGCTGGGTTCAGCCTCCATTCAGGAAAATTCAACTGTCAATTCCAAGAGCAACAAGCAAATGGACTTTTTTTTTTTTTTTTTTTTTAAAGACTAAAACAGTCACATAGCCAAAAATTAAAACAGTACAGAAAGATACAAAATGAAAAGCAAGCTCCGCTCCCCAGATGTGATCCTGGTTTTCTTATATAAAATGACCTTATTTCTGAAACATTTAACATGGCAGGAATATATACATTAGGGTGTATGTATTTCTTATGCATGTTAGATATGTTCTGATAAAGGTTAAATCTTCCAGAGACTGATTGCTGAGGCTAAATTCAGGCCCCAAATATAGAGACAAAATTTTCTTGAAATCCGATAAAGAATTTAGAACAGATTCAACCTTTTTTGAAAAAATCACATTTTATCCTTTAAGTCATATTTTACTTTTTCAATCTGTAACAATATAAACTCTTGAAGAAAAATGACACCTGCACCTGGATGCTCTGACAGATAATCAATAGCTCCAGATGAAACTCCAGACCTGAAAAGCTTAGCATAAACTCTCCTGGTATACCCAATGCCGCCCACAAGCCATTTCAGTGTCCTCAGTCTGTAGAGACAGACACAATGCAACTGCTTGCAAGTGGAGTAGAAAGGTCTGAAATGGACTGGGAAATATAAGGGGCAGAGGTAATCCAAGTAACTTTTAAACAAAATGAGTACCAATTTGGAAAATTAATGTTTATGGGCATTTTCTTCCCCAAACAGGGACCTGTGAATGCAAGAAATCAGACTTTAAGCAAGACTCCTAGGATCTAAGGCAATCGCATACTTGGAACAAATAAACTTTCCAAAGAACACTTAAAATGTCTTGACTGTAATTATCTTAATATTTTACATTAAAAAACTGATGCAAACTTGCAATGGAAAGCAAATCCAAACTCTTATTAATCATCTTCTGGTTTATTTTTTCAACCTCCAGTTTTTACATGATCTGTTCACAAAAGAGCTAAATAATTGTGCCCCTTTTAAAGGTGTAAATGACTTGCCCATCATGCAAACAAAGCTCACCTGGTCTCAACAGGCAGTGTGTGGCCCGGGCTGCTGACTCAGTCAGAAAGACAGCCAACACAGTATTCCTGTTGCCACTGTCATACTGTTTAGAGTTTCTACCTTGAATTGGAATGAGTTGGTCTCTAACATTCAAGACTCATTAGTAGGTCAGTAAACAAAGTCTGTTTGGGCAAAAGAAAGGGGCATTTAGAAAACCTCAGAAGGGCAGGCTGGACACAGTCTTCTCTCTTTTTCTTATCTCTGCTCTCAAGGAAGTTCCTTTAAGGTGAGCCAACTTTGTGGTTCATTTTAATCTAGAGCCACTATGTGCTGCTCTGGGAGTCTTGAGCCAGCTAATTGTTCTCACAGTTCAGCTCACATCCCAACAGCACACTGAGCTTGGGACTTGGGAAGTTCCTAGGGAAGCAGATGAAATTCATTAAGACAGAGCCCATCAAAGGCAAGAGCATTTTGCCATCTGTGTATACAGACCTCCCACAGCTGTGGCAAAGGCCACAGAGGAAGTATTTCTACCACAGAGAGGTCCAGTCATTGTTCTCCCCTCTTCAGCTCTCTGCCTTGACAACCTCAGCTGCCTCCACCATGTTTCTTCTCCCTGAGGCACAGACATTTCTTTTCAGCTTATTTTTGTGATTTTTTCCCCCCAACTAACCATGAAATTGGGCCTATTGGGATAGAGGGTAAAGTCAAATAAGCAATCCTTTGTATGTCCAGGAAATGGCCACCGGGCTCCTCTATGCTGGGTCCTCTTCGTCCATTGCTGCATCGCTACTGGCATTCTTTGTCTGCTCAGCCTCTGGCCCTGCAGGCAGAATGCTCATGACAGTGTGGAGAAGAGCTTCAATCTGCTCCTCCGTGAGCCGCTCTTCACTCTCTTCCACCATCTGCCCAAGGAAAGAAAGTCTTCATGAGTCACATTGAGCCTAGCCATCCTGCCCCACCCTGCCCAGAGTTCAGCATCAGGGTCCTGAGCCACCTGGTCCCCAGGAGCCTCTTCATCTAGGCTCCAGGGTCGGGCAAAGCCAGGTCAAATCCCAGGACATGTCAGTGCAAATGCTCAAACTGCAACTTGCAGGATCATATTAAAACAAAAACAAACAAAAAAACCTAATCAAGGGCTGAGGTTATAGTTCAGTGGTAGAATGCTTGCCTCACACATGTGAGGCACTGGGTTCAATCCTCAGCACCACATAAAAAAAAAAAAAATAAAGGAAAGATATTATGTCCATCTTTAAAAAAAAAACTCTCAAAAAAAACAAAAAAACCTAATCATTCTATACTCATCCACTTCCACATACAGATATGAATGTTTTTTTGTGCAAAGAAAATCCACCTCTGGGGAGTGGAACAGCACTTTATAAACACATCTGTACCATGATCAACTGTATCTACAACTCCTTTCTCCTAATTCTTACTAGCACTCAGGAGATCCCTTGGGGGGCCTCCCATGTACCCGGGGATGCACATTGTGCATGAAGACTACTATCTTCTTTTAACCCTCACAGCAATCCTAGCCAGGGGCAGAACTGGAATCTGAAGCCCCGCCCACGCGAGTCTAGTGCCCACCACCTCACACCCTTCACATGATGGTTTGGATCTTGAACTGAATCTGTACACAAAGGGGCCTGGACCATCTGTCACCACACCTTTCTCGACTCCACCTTCCCGACTGAGGGCCTGTTCTATGGTATGTATCACAGCAATCTCTTGAAACCTGGCAACAGGTACCAAAGGAATTCCAGAAAGAAATCCTGGCAGATTTAAGTAAAACAAGGTTTACAGTCCTCAGAGAACCTCTGTCTGACTGTCCTATTTCAAGATGATAGCACAAAAATTAGAGAAGTTACCAGACAAGTCCAAGAGCACACCACTCTCTCCTGACAAAGCAGCCAAACAGCTTCTCCACAACTAGAAAATTGTCCCTGGTATCACAGTGGGAAAGATCCTGAGCAAACCAATAGCGGCTACTTTCCTTCATGCAGTGAAATACAATGACATTTTCTGATGATTCAGTGGCTCAGGAAAATGCAACTTCTTTGCTGATCAAGAACAATCCTCAAAAATACATATTTTCCAAATATTTGGTTTTTAGTAGTATGAACACCATACCTTTATTTTATTTATATGGTACTGAGGATGGAACCCAGTGCCTCTCGTGTGCTAGGCAAGTGCTCTGCCACTGAGTCACAACCCCAGCCCATTCTTTATTTATTTTTATTGCATTGGAAATTGAACCCAGAGTGCTTTACTACTGAGCTACATCCCCAGCTCTTTTTATTTTTTAATTTCGAGAAAGGGTGTGATTTTCCCAGGCTGGCCTTGAACTTGCGATCTTCCTGCCTCAGTAGCTAGAATTACAGGTGTGTTCCACCATGCCCAGTTCAAAAATGCATTTTTAAAATTAGACATGCAAAATTAGGTCCTGTGACAGCAGTAATCAAATATAGACTCCCCCAAAGAATGAGGGAAGCAGGGAGACACACAATTTGATTATTTATTTTACAACAAAAAAAATGTCTCCAGGTGTAAAGCCAATGGTCTGGACAGCTGAGAAAGAGCCTCCCAATAGTTTACAGTGCTTCCCTGTGTAGGAGGCCCTCCCCCAATCACAGATACCAGTGTTTCTCCAAAGCCTGGCACACAGTCAGGACATGGGAGTTTTTTCTAAGAAAAACTTCACCTGGGCTCAACAAGTAGGAGTGAGGTCTTCTGGTGCTAAATGGCAGCTCAGTAGAATGCCATGGCCTCCACAGGAGGTTAATCATTTTCCTCTCTCAAAGATGCTATACACAGACTATAGCCCACTGGTTTGAAAGTCTGGCTATGTGTCCTCTGGGGGCCTTCTTCTTTAGAAAACCAGAGAGGCCACCTTCTTCCATCCTCGTCTCTGGCTTGGCACATGCAACTCTGATCAGGTGTCACCTAGCTGTGTTTATCAGCAAAATGGCAAACCTGGCAAGAGCAGAAGCTTCTGCCAGCACGCAAAACCCAGGGGTCATCAGAGTCAGAAAACCTTTTTTTTTTTTTTTTTTTTCCAGTCCAAGATTCCCAGTCACAAGAAGAAATCCTAAGCTGCATTGAGCTAAATAAAATATACACAAAGAAGTTTTAGAAAGAAATGTATTAACAGCTCTTGGATCAGTGGAATAAGTGACAGCTACACCATGCCTCACCTTTTCCTTCCAACACAGAGAAACAGAGCCTGAATAAGGAAGCACAAAGCAGCACACTAATATTCTCTGATACCAAGGGTTTCCAGTTGTTCAGAATATAAAGGCAAATTAAGTTAGCTATCCAAAGTACTGGCAGATGGGTCATGACAAATTTTTATTACATACAATGATTATATTAATCCCCAGGGTCTGTCCAACTGGGCTGGGACTCCAAACATGGCTGTTTCTCATTTTAAGGTGCCAAGCCTAATGCATTCCTTTCCTCAAAACAAGTGAAACCCTTTCTGAGTGCCAACATGACACCTCTAGTGGAAAAGCCTGCACTGACCACACGTGACAGCCTGTAGTTACAATGGAGGCTCAGCAAAGATGCAGCACAGGGTGCTATGAAGCATGAACAGCCTGGGTGAAGATGCGGGCTTGTCCCCAGGGTATCATCACGTACACACAAATATTCCAAAACGAAAAACACTGTGGTCCCAAGCATCTTAGACAAGGGACGCCCAACCTGTGGCCCCAACAGTCACTTCTCACTATGTTAACAACAGCTGACTACCTTCTCTGACTGCAGCTTTCTCCAAGGTAAAACCAAAGCAAAGAGAAGGTGCATCAGTGTCTCTAAGCCGGGCAGGGAGTGCTAGAAGCCATGAGACAGCCCCACTTCCCACAGACCCAGCCACAGGCAGTCACCAGAATGTCAAAGCCACTGTCAAGGCACAACCAGACCAGTGAGTCTCAGCTTCCAAGATGCCTGCTCCCAACCCAATACCAACAAGCACTGGGAGCCAGGATACTTTCTGGACTAAGGAAGAACCCATAGTGCTGAGTTCAACACAGAGAAAGTCTCCAGTCCTTGCATTTCCACTGTGAATGCCTCCCTTCTCATCCTTTTGTAGTGAGGAAATGTGGCTAGAGGCCCTGGCAAATGACCTGCTACCTTCTGCAGCTAGACCCTAGGATGGGAGGAATCTGGCTATGTAACGGTCCAACTGCTCAGAAAGAGTTTTGATCAAGGCCTACCTCTCTGAGGAAGGGAGAAGAGACTTTCTTCTCTCCAGCTGTGTCAGCTGACTTCAGGTGTCAACTTGACTGTACCAAGAACACCTAGAGGACTGGCAAGGCACTGCTCTGAGGGTGCTCCTGGAAGACTGGTGTGTGAGCTGGAGGGGGAAATCCACCTTTGAGGTCAGTAAGCACCATCTAGCTGGCTGGGGACGCCATGGACTCTCCCTCCTGAAGCTGGGACAGTCTTCTCCTATCCTTGGACATTAGAACTCCAGGTCCTGTGGTCTCTGAACTTCAAGACTCACGCCAGCAGCCCCTGAATTCTCAGCCTTCAGTCACCTGATCAGCTTCCCTGGTTCTGAGGCCTTCATATATGGACTGAGCCACGTTGCTGGTACCCCAGATCTGTGAAACTTCTAGGCCTCCATAATCACATGACCCACTCTCCAAATCCTTTCATCTCTCTCTCCAGAACCCTGATTAATACACAGGACAAAAGTACACGGCTTGGAGGAACCAAGGGGAGGTTCTGAATGAGACCTAATGGGCCACACTCCAAACCTCTGGGCTAAGTGGAGAGAACACTGTCCCTTCCTACACAAGGGTGAGGGCACTAAGTCCAGCTAATCTGACCAACTAATGACAGAACTTTCTATGGACTCTGGGATGAGGTCATGCTGTCCTCCTCTTCTCCATCTGTCCTCAGCCTGAGTACCATGTGCTGCTGGTTAAAGCTGGAGGAGACAGGACATGTGATCTGTGACCCTGAGGGGCAGGGATTAGTTTCTTACTGTTTTGTTTTTTTCTGTCCTGTAAATTGAATCTCCCAACAGTCTAAAGTATCAGAATAATGAGGATACTTTAAAAAAATTACCTCTATTTAGCCTAAAGGCCAATTCATCCAGAAAGGCATGCTAATGGAAGGAATTTTTCTAATTTATTTTTGGGCACATGTTGAAGAACAGAAACAACTCTGGGAAGACAATGAGGGTTTTAGTCAAAATTCTGAAGAAAAACTGCAACAAGAGAATCCAGAGAACATAGGTTTTTTTTAAATCATTTTCTTGCATATTTTTCTATGGAGAATTTCACAAAAAGCTGAGTATTCCTATAAAAGTAACTTTGGAAATGGCTTTATTCTTTTTTTGGAGGGGAGGGTACCAGGGATTGAACTCAGGGGCACTCAACCACTGAGCCACATCCCCAGCCCTATTTTGTATTTTATTTAGAGACAGGGTCTCACTGAGTTGCTTAGCTTTTGCTGAGGCTGGCTTTGAATTTATAATCCTCTTTCCTCAGCCTCCTAAGCCACTGGGATTATAGGCATGCGTCACCCGCCCCGCAGAAATGGCTTTACTGCTGTTGTATTAACTCTCTAGACTGAAGTTTTTTTTAATGATGGTCAGAGACTCTGCTCAGTACCTGTAGCTTACTGAAGCACACTGCCACGCCCAGAAGGAAGCTGCTTCGGTGTACCAGCAGATCAGTCACTCCTTTATCACTGGACCTCATTCTCACGGTCTCCTCATACCACCTCAGGGCTCCCAATCTGGCTGCCCTCCCCAGTTCTAAAGCAAATTCCCAATGTGGAATTTACAAATGCTGGCTCCACCAAATAGCTCTGTGCAGAGAAATGCAATCACACTTGTGGCTTAAAAGATGATCTATGATCATGGCACAGAGGAAGGAATTGCAGGGGACCACATAGGAGGCAGGGAGAACGGGGGAGGACAACTGCAAGAGGAGGGCTAAGAAACAATAACAGAAATCAATGCCGTGAAGCAGGGAGAGAAGAAAGAACAGGCAGGTGGGAGGTGGGAGCAACAGCAGAGGGGACTCACTGAATGTGAGATGAGGGGAGAGATGACTTCCAGGTATCTGGCTGAAGAGATGAGGCCAGGAGAGAGGATGAGTGTGTGGGAAAACATACACATGCACCACTAACCAGGAAAGGAGGGACAGGGGAAGATAACCTCCACTAGGCAGAGAAACAATGGCCAGAATGGCCCAGAACATGACAGCAAAGAGCTGCCAAACTCCACGGGAGAAATCAAACCTCCTCCAATTCCTGCACTTTCCCTGAGTCTATTCTAACTAGGATCAAACTGGTGAGGTCGCTTTTCTCTTACAAAACGGGGACTGGGCAGACTCTTCAAAACAACTGCAGTTCCTGCTTAGCCCTTCCAGATTCCAGACCCAGAAAACACTCTGGAGCCCAAGATTCTCACTCACCAGCTGGATCTCAACAGCAGTCACAGGCCTGTGATTCAGCAGCTGCAGCTTTTCAGCCCTGTCAGGAGAAAGCACAGAGCATTTAGACTCTTATACCCTGGGCTTGGTCAGACATGAACTGAGACACACTGTAAGGAGGCCCCCTGTTGGCTCAGCTGTAAAATGAGAGAAGGGTACAGGAAAGTGCAGCATAGGTGTGTTCCAGGGCCCTAAAAGGCAGAGAGAAGGGATGGCAAGAAATGGAGTGACAGGAAAGGTATGGTTTTAAAAACCACATTTGACATAGTAAGCTTCATCTAGAAAACGTGAAGAAAATAGTACTTTCTTAATCCAATTTAAAGAAAATAAACAAATACATTGGTTGGTCATTACTTAGAGATGGTTGAAAATATCTTTTTGAGAATAAGACAAAATGTTACTAAGATTTGATCTGCTATCTTAGGAAAAAAACACAATAACAACAACAACAACAACAAAAGTACTATAAAGGGACAGAAATTAATACACAAAATTATAAAGAGGTTATATTATATGAAAATTTCCAAAATAAAAATTTCAGAAAAGGGTGAAAGAGAACATGTCTCTTCTGTCACAAAGGCACACACAGCTACTGCTGGTGGGGTTGAAAAGGTGAAAGGGCTTCAAAAGAAAGGGGACTTTAATTGCCACCCCTGTGCAGGAATAATTTCTAAAGTTCCCCCTCTCCAACTCTGGAGATTCAGACCCATCTTGCGATTCAGTTTGGCAAGGTTCACTGCACTCAGACACACTGTGAGTGAGAAGACAAGTCGTCACTCCTGCAGCTACGTGCTGGGAGAAGCAGTGCAAGTCACTCAGTGTCCTGTTTCCAGTCCACCACGGGTGAAACAGGGTTGGTAACAGAGCTTAGCACTTAGGAGAGGGTCATGAGGGCTGATAATCTCCTACTGAGTGTATCAGCAGCAACCGTCTATTGCTTGTTTCCACTTGGCTATCACACTTAACCCTTGGACTCAACTGAGGCCGAGACAGGAAATAACCTGTCCACAGCTACACAGCTAGTACAGGAAGAGCTGGGCTCTGCACCAAAGCTCAAGCTCCGGACCTCTGACTCTCGCAGAAATGTGACAACATGGGAAAGTGTTCATCAAGAGGCCGTCCCACAACAGTGCTTCTGTAAATGGTGGCCATTCCTAAGGCAGCTGTAGCCTGCTCTCCTCCTCTTAATCCCTTACTGACTGTAGACTCAAAAAGGGGACCTCACAAAACAGATGACCTTTGCACGGGGCCCTGAAGGATTTTCTAGGCTAAAGAGATGGAAGAGCAAGAACAAAGGTGAATACCCAGAACAGAAAAGTTTTCAGAGTTTTAGGCTGCTAGGAATGTACGAGACTGAGGCTGGACGCTACTTTGTAGAACTGAGCGGCAAAAAGGAAAGGAACACCGCACTCTGGCTGGTGCTGGCAGCAGTTCCAGGACAAATGCAGAAACCACTGGAAAACTCCCAGGTGAGAAGGTGAGGTTGTGAACCCTGCAGCAGCAGCAGGAGGAATGGCAGTGAGAACCTGACACACAAAATGCTCCTGGTCACCCTCAGGAAGAATCATCCGGATCTGCCACCTGCCTAGCAAGAGTGAGGATGAGGCAGGGTAAAGGAAGCAGGAGAGTCGAGGTTAGCCTCAATGCTTGGGAAAAAAATTATTTAAAACTGCGTTTGCAGAAGTTTAATGACTATTATGAATAAGTGTCTGTCAAAGAGTTTATCAAATCTGGTCTAGAATTAACTTAAAAAAAAGACCAGATCTAGACTTGCAAAGAAAGTTAATAAGTGAAACCACACTGTGACCCAAAACCAACTGTGGAGCACATGAAGACCCAGGGCAGAGCAGCACAGAACACCTCCACTTCAGGGCCAGGAGAGAAGACAACCTGGGGTGGTGTCAGGGAAGCCCAGAGAGGACATATCAAGACAGAGGGATCACCAGCAATGTTAAGTGCTGCAGGGAAGTAAGGAGGTTAATAGTGAAGAAGTCACTGAATTTGCCCAAAGAGGTCACTGGCGGTCTGTGTAAGCAGTTCACTGGTATCAGTGGTGTTGACAACTGGGTTGTAGGGACTGAAGAATGACTGTGGGCTGGTGCTCCACCAAGATCACAGGAACATGGAGAGGGGCTCTGAAAGGTGTGACTGCTTTCTGGACCACCTCTAGGGAAGCACAAGTGAAGCGACCCCGGGAGGGCTGGGAGTGAAGGACAACATGGACCAGATGCTGCAGAGAATCTGGTGAGGTGAGGCCCCGAGAGAAGACCAGAGGCAGTGCTGAAGGCCCAGGTGAGATGGAATCTGAGCCCTTGTGCAAAACAAAACTATGGTGGCTTTTCTGAATTTCTTGTTTTGCAACCACACAACAGTATGGATTAAAAAAAAAAAAAAAAAAGAATAGGAACAGAAAAAAGGTATAGCGGAACAAAAGAGTATCTCCTCTCCTAATCAGCCAAAGCAGCAGAACGCAGTTCCAACTGTCCTTATTCTGCCAGGCTCTGAACTCCTGGAAAAGCTCAATGCCACACTCTGAAAGACCCCCAACTCTGGGCCAACCAAGGAAATTCCTGTCCCATACCACAAAGCCGTGCACTGCTGGAGTAAAACCACAGACCTGCGTGCTACAGGCTCAGAAGAAACTCTCCCACCATCTCTATAGCCTTCTCAGTTCACTCAGTTATCTCCAGTCTATTCTGACTGTGCCGTTTGACTCTGCTGACCAGTCTCTCCCCAGGATCCCACAGCGCCACTCTTCCCCAGTTCTCCCTCTCCCTGGGTTCCTCTTCTCTTGCTTGTCTCTGTCATCCCACAATGCACCCTGCACCTTCTGACCCTCCCCCCCAAGTTCCTCACCCACACCTCACAATCTCAACAGCTACTACAGTTCGTGCCCCCAAAATCCAATGTCTTCAAGGTACATGAAGAGAGCCACACCTCCGTGCTGACAGCACATCTCCACTCAGACCCTCTGAGCTGGACATGTCCCTGGGTGACCCGACAGACCAACAGCCCTCTGTACTCCTCATATGGGTGAAGAGCCAAACACCCAGGCTTGAAGACTGGAGACCAGATGTCTCCAACTCTTCCCTCTCACCCACTCCCAAGGCAAACATGACTGACTGTATCTCTTTTTTTTTTTTTTGGTACCAGGGATTGAATCCAGGAGTACTTAACCACTGGGTCACATCCCCATAGCTTTTTATATTTAATTTAAAGACAAGGTCTTGCTAAGTTGCTTAGGGCCTTGCTAAATTGCTGAGGCTGGTTCCAAATTTGTCATCTTCCTGCCTCAGCCTCCCACTCCACTGGGATTATACGCATGTGCCACTGTGCCCAGGATTGATGGTATCTATTTTAAGATGTCTGAGGGCTCCTCACCATTTTTAAAGGCCACTTTGACCTCTTGGTTGTAGGACAAAGGCATCTGTCAAAAGACGACTGCCACTTTTTCTATCTATCTTTTACAAGGCATAAACAAGCTGGTGTGCCACTGCCTATAATCCCCTGAGGCAGGAGGATCACAAGTTCAAAGCCAGCCTCAGCAACTTAGCGAGACCATCTCAAAATAAAAAATAAAAAGGGCTGGCTGGGGCTGGGGTTGTAGCTCCGTGGTACAGTGCTCGTGTAGCACATGCAAGGCCCTGGGTTTGATCCTCTGCACCACATAAAAATAAATAAATAAAATAAAGGCACTGTGTCCAACTACACCTAAAAAAAATAAATATTAAAAAAAAGATAAATAAAAAGAGCTGAGGATTGGCTGGGGTTGTGGTTCAGAGGTAGAGCACTTATCTATCATGTGCGAGGCTCTGGTTTCAATTCTCAGCACCACACATAAATTAGCAAATAAAATAAAGGCTGGGGATGTGGCTCAGTGGTTAAGCAACCCTGAGTTCAATCCCCAGTACCTAAATAAATAAATGGCAAACAGCATCACCCCAGTATCCTGCATATAGCCCTCCTCTCCCTACATGTCTTGGTATGAACCCTGATGGCCACCTGAAATCTGGTCTCAGCCGGTCTCTATGCCATAGCGCTCTACTCTCCCTAAGAGCGCATATCCCATTTACCCAAACTTCCCACACTGGAAGAAGTCACCCAGCTACCTTCTGAGTCCATGTCTTACTCAGCTCGGGGTACTCCCCCTGCTGAGGAAACATTTCCTCACCTGCATCTGGTTGGCTTCTTTATAATAAAGCTACTGCCACTTCTTCCAAACAAAATAAGCTCAAATTCTGACCCTGCAATATCTCTTCACTGTGTCCCCACTACCACTGAACTCTTTTTTTTTTCCACACAATACCTTTATTTTTTATTTTTAATATTCATGCGGTGCCAGGGATCGAACCCAGTGCTTCACACATGGTAGGCAACTGAGCCACATCCCCAGTCCCTGCACTGACTCTTCACTGTACAAAGTACTCATCTTTGCATTCCCAGTAACAAAGACAAAGTTGGCATGAGAAAAATAAAACCTGAAGGATAAAGAAAGCTATGGAATGTGACTTCCAGAATTCATGGAAGAAGACTAGTCTAGAACTTTGTGAAGACATGGGACAGGGATCCATGCTCTAAAAGCAGATAGGGTAATCAGACTCTATATACTAGGGAAACTTAACCATCTACCCATTTACTCCTGAGTTTTTCTGGTCCTAGAGGTATATGTCCCAAATGTGGTATCAAGTCCTAGAGTAGTCTGAGCACAGGATTCCTTTTAGGGGTTCTAATGTTCTTTACAGACTAAGTAAGCTGGGCTGTAAAGGAAAGTCCTCTCTGATCCTGGCAGACATCACTATCTCAGAATGAGAGCTGGACTATAAACCAGGCGACAGTCCCTTGAGGACGAAATGCCTCAAGCAAAAAGTAAAAAGGTTAAAGAAACAAATGTTCTGGGAGGGGAAGTAACACACTGTAGAAAAAAATTACGTGAAACATATTATCAAAGGGATTTTGAGTTAAGTTCCAACCCTATCATTTTGCTGAATAACACTATGAAGCCATATGAAACATGGTTCCTCTGCTACCCTCAAGGACTCTAGCAGTGGAGAGATTTAAGAAAATTAATGGAGCCCCAGCTACACTAATAGAACCAGGTCTGTTATGGGTACATTTTGGATCTCCTTTCCCTGAGCCAATGGTAAAAAAACAAAACTTATTTGGGATACTCAGATACAAAAATTAAAGGGAACTTCAGCAATTCCTATTATAAATGGAATTCCGCTCTTAAACTGCATTGACTAGCACAAGATGGTATAAGTCTTGATGGTACTGGGTAAGCAGCCCCTGGGTCACTAGGCACTGGGGCCAGGAGCCAGGACCTAGCCATGAAGAAAAAAGTCTGCTGGCTCCCTCTCCTGTATTGTGCAACCCTGATTGCAGCTTCTGCTCTAGTAGTCAGAGGGCCAATTTATTATTTATTATTGTTGTGTTATTATTATTTGCAATGCTAGGGATTGAACCCAGGGCATGTTAGGCAAGTACTCTACCACTGAAACCATCCTGAGCCCTATAGGACCAATTTAATAAAAGGCAGAGATTAAAAGGCCATAAAGGACTTTATAAATCCTCAGTTTGGGGTTCAAATGGAAAACAGAGCTAAAATTAATCCTCCAAACTTACGCAGATTGCAGTCAAGGATCACTTTTCAGGGTTATTTCTATCTGCAGCTTTCTTGAACCGTAGCCACATCCATATTTAGTGAAAAAGATGGAAGATTAGGAAGCTAAACACAGCCAGACAATTAGCTGAGAAAAAACAACAACAACAAAAAACCCTTAAAAATCAACCATTAAGATTTCTATTGTGTAAAAAAAAGACTTCTACTACAAAGTGAGTGCTATTCTGTGGTGCATGCCAGCAATCCCAGCTATTCAGGAGACTGAGACAGGAGGATCTTGAGTTCAAGGTCAGTCTGGGCAATTTAAGCAAGACCCTGTGGAAAGGGAAAGGAGGGGTAGGGATGGGGGGGCAACGGAAAAAAAATGGCTGGAGATGTGGGTCAATGGTGAAGTGCTTACCTAGTATATATATGCAAGGCCCTGGGTTCAATCTCCAGTACTGACAAAAAAAATTTGTAGACAAGATGATATAAGCCCACTAAGGCCTGTCTCTCCACTGATTACAGTGAAAATCTCTGGACAGAAATAAAAGCAATAGCCTGAGGACTCTGTAAAGCAAGCCAAAGCAGGTGGATTGAGGGAAACAACAGATAAAGAACAACTGGGGAGAGTATGGAAATGAATTTCTTACCCACACTCCTCTTAGGTCCTTGGACCTAGGGTGGCTCACAAGTAGTTAAGAAAACTTCAAGAGAAATCCGGTGTGAAAATCCAGATGAATTTCCTAACTCAAAGGCAACTCCCCAGCAGAGAAACAGCAGCAGGAAGAGACCTTCAGGTGCAAAGTGCCCCGTTTCCCTTTCTTTGCTCTCTCCCTGCTGCACCCCAAGGGCAGCCCCAATGACAACCACACCAGCAGAGAAAACACACTGCCACTGAGCAAATCAAACCGTCATGCAAAATAAGACCCAAAACAGCCCAGACTTCAGAAACTGAGCAGATGCGGCAATCCTTGCCCTTGGAAGGTAGATTGGCCTGAGGTCTGAGCCTAAGTGGGCTGACTGCTCACTCCAACAGGAAGAATAACATCGACCAGAGGCTTAACAGAAGTCAGAGACTCAACTACTTAAATATAATATTTTAAATGCCCAGGACACTACTTAAAATTATCCCAACCAGGAAGATGTGACTCATTCTCGCACATGTGAAGCACTGGGTTCGATCCTCAGCGCCACATAAAAATAAAGATATCGTGTCCATGTATAACTAAAAACATTTAAAAAAAAAAATGAGTTGGGGGGCTGGGGATGTGGCTCAAGTGGTAGCGCGCTTGCCTGGCATGCGTGCGGCCCGCGTTCGATCCTCAGCACCACATACAAACAAAGATGTTGTGTCCGCCGAAAACTAAAAAATAAATATTAAAAATTCATTCTCTCTCTCAAAAAAAAAAAAAAAAAAAAAAAAGAGTTGGGTGCCTGTAATCCTAGCCACTTGGGAGGCTGAAGCAGGAGGATCATGACTTAGCAAGACGCTCAGCAACTTAACAAGACCCTGCCTCAAATAAATAAATAGATAGGACCGAGGGCACAGCTCAGTGGTAAAGCACTGCTGGGCTCAATCCTTAGTACAAACAAATAAATAAATATGGGGTTATCTTTTTTTGGTACTGGGGATTGAACCCAGGGGTACTTAACAACTGAGCCCCAGCCCCAGCCCCTTTTTTGTATTTATGTAGGGTCTCGCTAAGTTCCTTAGGAATTCAATAACTTGCTGAGGCTGGCTTTGAACTTTGAGATTACAGATGAATGCCACTGCACCTGGATTGAAAGCAGGATCTTAAGGAGCTAACTGTATACCCATGTTTCTAAGAGCATTATTTACAATAGACAGAAGTTGATGTATACAAGTATACATACTGGATGTTGAATAAACAAGATATGGTTTATATATAACATGGAATATCATTCAGCCTTGAAGAAAAAAAAAAGTGTCCACACAAGCAGCAACACGACACCCTTGAAGACACTAAGCTGAACAAGCCAGGCACAAGGACAAACACTGCACACACGCACTCCCTGGAGGGATTCAGGGGTCCTCAGGTGCAGAGACAGATGCAAAGTGACAGCTGCCAGGGGCTAGGAGGGCAGGGGTCCTGTTTAAACAGGTAGAACTCTGGCTTTGAAAGATGGAAACTGTTCTGTGGATAGATGGCAGTGAAAACTGTACAGTGTGAATATATTTACTACCCCTAACACCCACCTAAAAACAGTTAAAATGGTGAAAAAATAAGGGAGATTAAACAATACTCATATTTTTTTTTAAAAAAGACAAATACTATATGGTTCTACTTATACGAAGGAGTCAAATTCACAAAAATAGAAAGAAGAATGAAGGTTGCCAGGGACAGGGAAGGAGCAAATGGGGAGCTGTTTAAGATACACAGAATTTCAGTTTCAGAAGATGAGAAAGTTCTAGATATTGGCTATATAATACTTATCAATATTATACTTAAAGTGGTATTATGTATATTTTACCATAGTGAAAAATAAAATATATATAACACATACACACACATGCAAGATGTTTGTCTTCAGAGTTCTTTTCAAGGAGAGAGGTCAGGTGAGGAGCGTTCTTAGTTTACTGGTTGTATAGCAACTGTGTGCCAGAAATAACACTACACTGTCCCTCCAAAAGAAAATCATCCATTACCCTGAATGATACAACAAAAGCTACTGGAATTCATCAGCACTAGTATTAAAATTAATGATATTTTGGACCCCACCATAAGCTTCAGTGAGTTACTATCTTCTCGGTTTCCAGGGACTGGATGGTAAAACTGATTGCTTCTGTGCTGTCTGCAGAAAACAATGCTTTTCTGCTTTCTTATTGTTGTCCTAGCAGGATCCCTGTCCAATCACCCGCCCACCCCCACATGGAACCCTGGACTGCCCATGGCCCTCCCCCAACTTCACTCTCTCCCAGCAGGAGGCAGTCAGTCTGAATCAGGCCCAAATACCCTAAAAGAATTTAGAGACTGACGTCCTTAAAGGCCCCACCCATATGCTAGTCAGCCATGAATGGGTAAGCAGAGGAGCAGGAAGACCCCTGAAGATCACAGGGAGCCTTACCTGACAGACAATCCCTTGAAGATGGGAGATACCTGTGTTAAGCCCTCCCAGTCTTAACTGATAAAAACTAGTGCTGGGGTGGTGTAGAAAACTTACGTAGTCTTTTTCTCATGTAAACTCGATTTATAGTGATGTTAATTTTTATAAGCTGAAAGACCAAAAGTAACTGGACACAGCAAGAGCAGAGAGAACATTATAGGCACTTTTGCCTCATACCAACCCAAGTATCAAATGACCTTACTGTGAACCTTTCAATCCAATCTGGCCTGATCACTCGGAGGAGGTAGAGGGTTAGGCCATGTGAACTGGGACCCCAAGAAGGACTTTGAGACAAACATGAGGTTCTGTCCCTGCTCCCGAAGCACTTGTACACCTCTTAGCTGTTTTATCCCAGGGCGTCGTAGCCACACAGTAGTAAGGGCAGCCCTGGGAAGCCTTCACTTTCACCACGTGTCCCTCTCGTCCACTCGGCTGGTCTTCACTTACTTGGTCAACTTGTGGCTTTTCATTGCTGTAAGAAATTCTCTGACAATTTCAGGACTCTGGTGTCTGCACGGTGTTTTTGATATGTATTTTAGCGTCTACAACAAAAAACAAAAAACAAAGAAACCTACTGAGAAAAAGGGAGCAATAGCTAAAAATTAGTATTCTGAAATTTTGTTTTAAGAATCCTCTATAAATAAATGTCTTCAGAAAAACCAATCTTCATATAATAGGAAGGGAGAGTGTGAAGTTGAACAGGAGAAATCAACAAAATTTTAGAAGAAAATTCATTCCATTTTTAAAAAGAGAAACAAAAACTCAATCTGACAATTATGTTACCATATTTCAGACCAAAAAAAAAAAAAAAAAATGTTTTTAAAAGAGGGAACCCGAAGAATAAAATCACCATAAGACTCTATGGATTGTACAGGAAAAAACAAACTCAATTCCTTGTAAACGTCCAGGGTACATATGGTTTTTCCTGCTACCAAGTACGCAAGGCTACATCAGCAGTGAACACCACTGGGTGTCCCCCAATCCAACATTCTGATGCTGCCTACTGGAGGGAGCCTCGGGCCTCAGACTGAGGGCTCGACCCTGCAGGCCGGCTCTCCAAACCCCAGACTGCTCGGCTGTTGCTTTCCAGGGTAACAGGCCTGAATCTGTTAGAAGGGAGAGAGTGGGTCCTCTCAGAGAGGAGAGGGACAGAAGGCCTTCTGCCTTCCAGTGTTGTGGGGGGTCAGAGCAGTTTCCAGGGAACTCTGCCCAGGCCCATCTCTTTACTTTTGACTGATAGCACACTAGCTGCCTGGACTGACCTCACCTGCCTGTCTCCAGGAGAGGATGGTGTGGTGCTCAGAGTCGGGGACTTTAAGAAAACTGACTCCCCCTGCTTTTGCCTCAGTTTCCTGCCCCCCTTTGAAAGGCCCTCAGCAAGCTTTCTTTGTGAGGGTCTTGATGTTTTAGTTGCCAAGGTGATTGGGGGCTGAGATAAGGGAAGGTCCATGCCACTTGATAGAATGTGACAAGACCCTGAAACAGCTTTTCTGCCGAGAATGTGACCTTGGCTGGACATAGAGAGCCTCCAGGTGCTTATCAGGTGTTGAGAGCCACAGCCGAAGGGACCCCAGCAAACTTCCAGCTGCCAGCTGATGATTGGCTCACAGCGGCCCCAGCAAACTTCTAGCTGCCAACTGATTGGCTCCTCTGTGGTGATGCTCATTGGGCTGTTTCCCCGCCCTTTCAGACCACGGAGCTGCTCATTGGGGGACTTTTTTTGGCTCTGCCCACGCAACCCAGCCAATCAGCCTCAAGAGCAGGAGGAGTGGGGGAGGTTGAGAGGCTTGTGGGAAGCCAGTGGTGGCAGTTGGGCTCTGAAGGTTTTTCCTGAGGAGCTGTGTGGTTTGGTGTGTGTTCTAAAAATAAAGTTCGTTTCTTTTGACAAGTGGCTCCTGAATTGTGCCTAGCCAGACTGCCGCAATCAGGTAAGGCTCCCTGTGGTTTTCAGCAGCCCTTGCCTTTTCCCTGCTCTCCCCTTCATAAGCCCAGGGTTGTTTTACCTGTGCCTCTAACAGTCTGGCTAGAAATTCAGGTTGCCACAACCCTCCTTGGGTTCCATTAATTTGCTGGATTGGCTTACAGAACCCAGGAAACACTTAATGTTTAGTTTATTATAAAGGATAAAAGATAAGAGATGAAAAATTGCACAGAGGAAGGCACAAGAGGAGGGGCAGGGAGCTCTCTATGGCACTCCCCTCCAGGAAGCTGCAGTCGGCTTTTGGAACCTCCAAATCCTATCCTTCTGGGTTTTTATGACGCTTCACTACATAGGCATAACTGATGAACACACAGGCCACTGGGGATCAACTACCCTTCAGCTCTTCTCTCTTCCCCAGAGCCAGTGTAGGATGAAGGTCTCAGCCCCCAATCCTGCCTTGGGGTTCCTGGTGATCAGCCCCATTCTTAAGCCACCTAGAGGACACAGATATCAGTCAACTCATTAGCATACAAAAATAATCTTCAGAGAGTCTGAGGATTTTGAGTTGTTTAGAAATAGAGATGAAGACCAAATATGTATTCCCCACTATCACAGGATATATGCAATTGAATAAATAACAGACAACTTTTCTTATAGAAAAAAAGGAGGGGGGAAAAATCACCATTAGGCAATTGTACCTCAGTTGATAATCACTGCAGGAAAGACCCCTTGATGAATACTAAGTTAACTGTCTAAAGTTAAGGGTCAGGTGGACATCTGCACACCTCAGAGCAATTCTCCAAACACCTGCTAATGCTGTGCTGGTTCTAACACATCCCAATTCTTTGATGCTCCCCTTCAAGAGGGGATGCTTAATCCCCTTTCCCCTGAAGGCACGAGACAGGGACTCTTTCCTAAGAGAATAAGGAAATGGAGAGAAAATCACTTTACCGTGCAGAAACCAGGCCAACACCATCTTCACCAAGTGATCAGTGTCAACATCATCGGTAAAATCACATTGTGCCAGGCACCCCAAAGTCTCACAAGGAGAAGGGCACGTCAACTCTGCAGGGTTCTTCCCTCAAGAGCCATAACCTCTGTAATTTCACCTGTGAAACATCTCGGAAATTTATCTCCTTTTCTGCCTCTCTAGTGCTCCATCCCCAGTTCAAGCAAATACAGCCTGTCTCCTACACTATTTAATAGTCTTCTAACTACATTCATCTTCCCCTGTTGTTCCTCTTGACTATTTCTCCCCACAAAGGCCAGAAGAATATGTCCAAGATGCCAACTTATCATTTTTTTCCTTACTTTAAGATAAAGATCAAAATCTAAAAATAATACAATTTGACCTATCTCCTACCTAAAAGGTGAACATAATGCGGTGATAACCCTATAAGCTCAGTTTAGTCAGGAAACAACATCAGTCCAATCAAGGAACATTCTACAGAATACCTGACCATTATTGTTCAGAAGCGTCAGGGTCATGGAAAATAAAAAAAAGAACTAAGATTGGAGAATATTAATAAGACATATTAACTAAATACTGTTGAGTGAGAACTCTTGAGACTGAAGTTCTCTGAAAAAGCAGGGCTTACTGAGCTGTTGCAGATGCCAGGCAAAAAAAGGCGCTGTTTTCTGGGACACATCTCCACAACTACCAGCAGCAAAGCAGACAAAAGTAGAAAACACGTCCACTAGACCTACAGCCAAGAGTATTTTTAGGACACAAATTTAGGGAAGGAAAGCCTAAGATGTTTACAGTGAACCTAGATTGGCTGCAAAATAAGAAAGGCAGAGCATCAAATCAGGAAGCTCTGGAACAGGAGGGCAGCCCAAGGAGAGCCAATGCTGCTGGACTGGTTGGGGTTAGGAGCCCAGGAATTGCAAACTTACACAGGGCCCAGGGCCCTGTGTGGCTAGGATGGGATTTGAGTACATGTTTCAACACTTGTTCAGGAATGTGAACTGGAATCCCCACAGCTGTTAACTGACGAATTTCCTTGTCTCTGCCCTTCTCCATTCTCCATCCTTGTAATTAAATTGTGGTCATCTTACCGATACAAAATGGTATTCTGAATTAGACCCTGGAACATAAAAAGGATAGTAGTGGAAAAACTCCGGAGATAAAAATAAAATCCTTAGTTTAATAGTATATACCAATGTTAACTGCTTAGTTTTGATAATAGTACTCTAGTTATGTTAAGATGTTAAATGTTAGAGAAAACTAGGAGGAAAAGTCTATGGAATTTCCAATACTATCTTTGTAACTCTACTGCAAAATAATTTTAAAATAAAGTTTGTTTTTTTTTTTTTTTTTGAAGAGGAAACCCCACTTTGACATAATTTGAGAGGAATTTCAAACCTAAAAACAAATAGTAGCCTTAAGTGTCAAAGAATCTCTCAAAAATTGTAAAAATCACATCAGTCTTAGATTCTTGCCTAATATAATACCTATGTTAAACCAAAACTCTAGAGAGACCCAGGAAGCTCTAAAATAAAAGGGCTTACTGAGCTATTATAAATGCTAGCCCCTAAAAAAAAAAACAAAAAAAAAACCAGGTCTTGGGACAAGTTCCCACAACTACCAGCAGCAGAACTAGTTAGCAGTTAAGAAATATCCAGCAGATCAGAGCATTTATTCTATTGTTTTTTTTGTTGTAGGGCTGGGGTAGTCTTTGTGCTAAGCAAGAGCTCCACCACTGACCAATGTATACCAGCCACAAGAATATTTCTTATGACAAAAATAGGGAAGCATAGCTGTTTGCATTAATATTACACTGGCTGCAAATGAGAGAGGCGAGGAAGAGCTGGGAAAATCTGCCGCTTCTGGATGGAGGGCACTGCAAACAGCATGTGGTGGGCCAGGGGTGGGGAAGGCGTCAGAGCTCAGGTTTCAGCATCCTTTCAGGAGTGTGCTGGCCCTAAATTACCACTGATGAGCCTCCACCTCTACTCCACTCCATCCTCCAACCCTTGCAACTAAACTCAGGACATTTTGAACTTTTTCTCTGATCACCAATAAAACCCGAGAACTTCATATTCAGACAAGTTGTTGTTCAAATTAAAAACACCAGAAATAAGCCAGGCATGGTGGTGCGTGCTGTAATCCCAAGGGATCTGGAGGCTGAGGCAGCAGGAACGCAAGTTCAAAGCCAGCCTCAGCAAGACCTGTCCCTAAATAAAATATAAAAAAGGGCTGGGGATATGTCTCAGGCTCAGTAGTTAAGCACTGGGTTCAATCCCCAGTGCAAAAAAAACAAAACAAAACAAAACAAAAACACTAGAAATAAATATTATCAAGTATCACAAGCCTCGAGACATTTACTACCATAACTTTCTTACATAAGAACTTAAGGAAAAAGAGAGTGGCAGCAAGTTTCAACTAATCTAAGTATACAGAGCAGGAACACTGAATGGTTTGAAATGTGGTCAAAAAACTAACAAACACTACCTTCTAAGAAATAGAGGACTATGTGATGAAAGAGAACATGAACAAACACGGGAGGGATGGAGTTTTGCACAACCCGTAGGAGGAGGGTGAGGAGGGTGAGGAGGGGAGTGCCAAGTCCTCTATTTTCCCTGAAAATCATTAGGACAACTTGAATAAAACTCAGTAATGTCTTTGGAAAGATGAAATAAAGACAATTAAAACCAAATTCTCTACAGGGGCAAAAATCAGAATTGTAAGGAAACAGAAAGAAAAGAAAATCAGAATTGAAAGGAAATAGAATGAAAAGACAAGAAAGATTCTTTTTGGACAAAGCACAGGTTGGAGAGAACAAGGCAAACCTGCAGCCAGCCAGCATGTGATGAGCGGCTTCTGCTTTCTTCTTTATGCCCTCAGCACTAAGCTTTCTGCAATAAAATATATCACTTCTTGTGCGTATAAAGAAGCTAGCATTGCCCAAAGAAAAGCTCTGGCCTGGGGTTGGGACTATAGCTCAGTGGTAAAGTGCTTACCTCGCATGTGTGAGCTCTAGGTTCGATCCTCAGTACCACATAAAAATAAATAAAGATATTGTGTGCTCACCTACAAAGAAAGAAAGAAAGAAAGAAAAGAAAAGAAAAAAGAAAAGTTCTGTTCTGGCCTTTGTCCTGGGCTTCCAGAAGGTAATCTTGAGGTCCTTGGAATGCTATACCTAATGGGAGTACCCTTGCCTGGGCCCGTGGTTCACAGTGGACAATTGTGTGTGTGTGTGTGTTTTGTTGGGGAATGAATCCAGGGGAGTTCTACTACTGAGCTACAGTGTTTCTCACTAAGTTGCTGAGGCTGACCTCAACCTGTGATCCTCTTGCCCCAGCCTCCCAAGTTGCTAGAATTACAGGCGTGTACCACCAGACTAGGTTTGCACCGTAGATACTCTTTAACTATGTGACTTAGGACAGAGGTTGGTCTAGTCTCTCAGCTTTAGGGTGGAAGTTGGTTGCTTGCAACAACTTTGGATTTCAAGGTTCGCCAGAGCTTCCCTGGTTGGCAATATTCTGTGCACATTGCCACATAATGATTTCTGGAGAGTCATGTCCTGATACCAAGGGAGAAGACAATGGAAATTTTGTGTCTGGTATATATCCTGGACTTTGCTCCCATTTTCTTCTTTTCTTGGCTATTTTTTTTTCCTCCAGTACTGAAAATTGAACCAGTGGTGTTTTACCACTGAGCTACATCCCCAACCCTTTTAAATTTACCATTTTGAGATACAATCTCCATAAGATGTCCTGGCTAGCCTCAAACTTGCAATCCGTCTGCTTCAGCCTCCCAAGTAGCTACAATTTCAGGCATATGCCATGGTGCCTGGCTAAATAAGAGATTTTTTTAAATGCAGTGTTGGGAATCAAACCCAGGGCCTCATACATGCTAGGTATATGCTCTACCATCTGCCACGCGACCAGCGCTGGCTTCATGAAAGAAGGTTCGATTCATAAGTAATTGCTAGGGAGTTTTAAGAGACAAGACTCTCATTACCTTTAATACCAGCTCTGAGATGGCTTCTCCTAGCTCCCGTCTCCAGCCACCTAATGCGGTGGCGAGGTTTACAGAAGAGACTAGCGAAAGAGAGAGAACACGCCAGGGAGTGGGCTTTTATTGCGGAACGAAAAATTCAAGGGAAATTCCCATCCAGTGAAGGTTAAGGCGGGTGGCATCCCAAGGTCAGAGGCGACGATTGGGTCTTCAGGGCAGTGGCCAGGCATGCCTCTGCACGGACAAGCCCTCGGACATGGGAAAGGGTGGAGAAGGCTCTAACACAGCTGTGTCTAAGCGCCTCTCACCCAGCCAGCGAGGTAACTCAAATCACGTGCGAGGATGGCCTCCCACACTACCACAAAACTGCCTCCCCAGCCCTTTGGTCACTTTTCATCTGCATCCTTTCCCTGAAACACGGAGTAACTATAAATGATGGCTTTCATTGAGCCTACTCCCAGGGAACCGCTGAATCTGAGGAAGGTTCAGGGGGAAAGCCCCAAAGGTACAACATGTTTACAAGTGAACGCAGTCTTCCACTCCACTCCCTCTCTAAACAACAGAACCTGGGTTACTGCCAACCCACTCCAATCAGGGAAGAAGCCAGCCATCAGCAGAGTACACCGCCTCCCAGCGGTGGCTTAGGCGGGCTTTAGCAGCCGGGCTCACCTCGTAGGTGATGGTGTTCAGGTTCTGCTGCCCAGAGCTGTGCTTGTTCTTCCCGCTTTCTTTGCGCTGCTCTTTCAGATCAGTTAGTAACTGGAACACCTAGCAAGAGACACACAAAAGATTCCTGTAAATCTGAGAAACGTACCTACTACAAGGTTTCAAGGGGAAATAAAAAGTCTAATACCTCCTTACTTCCCATAAACCAGCCTCTCAACTCTTGGTTTAGAGCAAATGCATCCCAGAAGCAGGTGACTTTTTTTTTTAAATATTTTTTTTAGTTGTAGATGGACACAATATCTTTGTTTTTATTTATTTTTTTTATGTGATGCCAAAGATTGAACCCCAGTGCCTCATGCATGCGAAGCAAGTGCTCAATCATTGAGCTACAACCCCAGCCCACGGTGACATTTTTAAGCGTTCTTTTATCTACACTGAATACATTCATTAGTTTAATTAAAATATTTCAAATGTTTCCTATCAATATATACTACATTACTGATTTTGATCTCAAAGCCATATTCACTATTCCAAAGTAAATCTTCCTAAAATAAATATTTTTTTAAAAGGAGTCTGCCTAATACATATATTTAGTATAATTTCTTTCTATAAGAAAAAAATTGTTGGCGAAGTAGCTCAATGGTAGGGCACTTGTCTAGCATGTGCAAGGCCCTGGGTTCAATCCCTGGTCCCAAAACAAGAGAAAGAAAAAAAGAAAAAATTCTGAGGCAAGTGATAGTTCTTTAAAAAAAATGGATGGGCTGAGAGTGTAGTTCAGTGACAGGGAGTTGCCTAGCTTATATGAGGCCCTGGGTGCAGTCCCAGCACACCTAAATAAATAAAAATCTAAAAATGCTGTAGATGTTAAATAGTAAACTTTCCCCACAAAGAAAAAATATCTGCCTTAGTATTGGAATGGGGGTGGGTGGTCTGTCTTTCCTGTTTGAGATTCCACCAGAAAGGTGAGGGCAACAGAGGCTCAGAGACCATAACTGGGTGCAACGCAAACCCTTCCTACCAACTAGTCCTTTCAGAAAGAGTGGCACAAGACTCAATGAACGCTGTGTTCCCCCCAAACACCACACCAAATCCAAGCTGGACATGGAGATTCCTGAGAGCCAATGGCTTGGCCTCACCCCACTGCATTCCTATCACAAGCAGCAGTCATGCAGGGTTAACCTTTAAGACCAGCATGCCCAACTGCATTTATTCTGCATACACATCAAGCATAAGCCAGAGACCCAGGTTTCCTCCACATCTCCACAAGTCTGGCCTTTGATGGGATGTGTAGAAAACTGACGTGGCTCATTCTACAACTGGCACTAACCCATCAAATGGTTTTGCTAGTACCAAACAAGATCCAGGCAAAGCAGGAGGCAGGTGAAAATACCATTATATTTCCCTTTCCTGTCTTTCACCAACAGCTCTACCCTCAAGCCCCCAAAATTAAAAACCTGTTAATCCCTTATTAAATTATTCATAATGGTGAGTTGACTGAACTCTTACTTTCAAAATGAGGACGTTAATACCTTTGTGACTATTAAAGATCAAAGTAACATAAGCATGTTATAAGTCAAGGATGATAATTAAGAAAAGGCATAAACCAGGCACAGTGGCGCACACCTGTAATCCCAGTGGTTCAAGAGGCTAAGACAGGAGGATCCGAGTTCAAAGCCAGCCTCAGTGGGGATGGGGTTGTGGCTCAGAGGTAGAGCACTTGCCTAGCATGCGTGAGGCACTGGGTTCAATCCTCAGCACCACATAAAAATAAAATAAAGGTGTTATGTCCACTTACAACTAAAAAAAAGTCAGCCTCAGCAATGGCAAGGTGTTAAGCAACTCCGTCAAACTCTTATCTCTAAATAAAATACAAAAACTAGGGCTGGGGTATGGCTCAGTGGTCAAGTATCCCTGAGCTTAATCCCCAATACATTTTAAAAAAGAAAGGTATAAATGTTTTACTAAGAAACTTGTGTGGGCACTCAGAAATGGCTCTAAAACAAATGCTTCTGTTCCTTGAGGGCATCCCAAAAGATGACCTACAATCTCTGGGACTTAGGGAAAGGGACCTATTATAAACCAAAGTTTACCAGACTCCCCAAAGTAACAAGCTTAGCGTACTTCAAGGTCCACCAGATAGTGCCAATTGTCCTGTTTTAGAGCGGAAAATCCAAATGAATTCAATGATTTCTAATCAATAATCCTTACATCGAAGGGCAAGCAATGAGGAAGGAAAGAGAATGACCCACTGTAGAGCTATTTACCTCATAGTTACTGAGCAGTGCAGAGCTTGCATCCTTCCTGCAAAAGAAAAGAAGCCATCATCAGTCCAGGCTCACAGCCTTCCTGAGCGTTCTTCTTGTAAAATAATTCTGTTATCAAGAGCTAGTCATCTAGTTCAGGAACCTAAAACTGAGAAACGTCCTAAGTCCTACACGTCTTATCAGGCTGAAGACAATTTCAGAGCAGACTCTCCTTTTTATAGCCACAGCATATCACACACCCATCAGCAGGCAGGTGACTAAAACACGACACTTATTCCAAATCCACGTAGGCTGGAGTTCAGCACTTGGGAAGTGAAGGCAGTCGGACAGCATGGAGAAATGAACTACAGGAAGAACAGGAGGGCAAGACCATAGAGGACAGAGGGTTCAAGGAACAGTGACAGTGTGGGTGCCAGAGATGCCTGGAGAAACCAAGTGCCGCTCCCTTCTGAACCCAGGGCCCCTTCCCATTGGCCAACAGAAATGATCTGCCTGATACAGTGTCCTACCTAACATCCACCAGGAATTCCAGCAATGGCCAGGAATCCTGTGAGACATCCACAAAACGTTAATGTGTTCATCCTCTGTCAACTCAAGAGTCTCTACATCGGGCAGTCGTTAAAAGCCTGTTGCACCTGAGAACCAAACAGTGCAAACTATCATCTTTCATGTATGACTGAACACAGCAATGTGACATGTCAAATTATAACTGATGTACCCTACAATATCACATCAGAAAGTATTTACTTTCAGAACCCTAGAGCCAGTGCAGTATGCCAATCCAGAACACAATTTTGAAGTCAGACATATTTGGGTACATAACCCAGCCCTGCCACGTATAAGGTGTGTAAGTTTTAGTGCATCAATTTCTAAGTATATCCCTCTAAAACAAGAAATGGGGATAATTCCAAATCTGGAAGGGCAGCCTGGATTCTAAACCAAACTTCATCATGCACTAGCTAAGTGAATTTGGGAGTTATTTTATAGTTATGCTTAAGTTTCCTATCTATAAAATACAAGTGTACACAGGATTAAACTGAAACAGGAAGAGTATCTGAAAACAGTAAGCTCCATAAATGCTATTATTATCATTACTATGACTTTAGCCATTACCACTACCACCTCTTCCTACCTCATAAAACTGCTAACGAGAAACTTAGTACAGTTCTTGGTACTTACTAAGATCTCTATAAATAAAGGCTATTAATATTTTTTTAGTTGTCAATGGACCTTTATTTATTTATATGCAGTGCTGAGAATTGAACCCAGTGCCACATGCTAGGCAAGTGCTCTACCACTGAGCTATAACCCTAGCCCCTTTTATTATTAAAAGATAATCACCCTTATTCTCACTAAAATTCCTGTGACACAGGAGCTATTAGTATGATCCCTACTTTATAAATAATGAAGCTGAGACTCAGAGATTAAGTAATCAGCTCCAGGTCACACAGTAAGAAGTCTAACTAAAACTGGAAGATAACTACAGAATAGTGAAAAATGAGACTGGATTAGATGAATGGAAACCAATAATCAGAATCCAGAAATTCACATTGGGTAGTCTGGATCTGACATAATGGGCAACAGGGAATACTATATATTCTTAAAATAGGAGTGGAGCTAGACGATGAAAATGGCAATGATAAAACTTTAAAAGTGAGGCAAACAGATGGGTGATTCCCCCAGTCAACAAATACAGCAAAGCTGGCAGAAGCTTATCACGGGGACTTACCATGACCCAAGGTCATCAGCACACAAAGCTTACTCAAATACTAGCAGTAATTCAACAAATGGCTACCATTTCACAAATGTACTGCTTTGCCCAATAATCACACTGGACTCAGGTCACATGCAATATTATTTTTAAAAAGAACCCAATCCAGGAAGGACAACAGTATTATGTGATATGGTTCATTTAAAATTGAACATGATAAACCAAACAGTGTCTACTTAATCAGGAAATCCATCACAAGGCTCCCTTCAATCTTTGCCAGAAACTGAGTTACAACTCCCCATATTCTCAAAGGAGCATTTTGTACCTATGATGTCAAGGCACTAAGACATTCCTTTTAGGAACAGTAGAATGGGGGAAAAGTACAAATGTCAATTTTCTTCAGAGCCAATGGATCCATCCCAGGTGCCGTTATTACAACTTCATTTCCAAAACAAACCCTGTCCCTCTATCATGGAGAATATTCCATTCCCTGATAGATTCATCCTAGGCCTTTCCAAGTTACTGCCCCACTACTCAGTCAATAGTTAGTGCAAGAATCCAAAGAATATAAGCTGCCTTTTCTAGGATATAGGAAGAGAAGGGAAATTCTCTTTCATATACATTTAATTTTTTGCAGTGCAGAGACTGAACCCAGGGCCTCATGCATACTAAGCAACTGTTCTACCAATGAGCTACCCCCCAGTCCCTTAACATACATTTTAATGAATCTATGTTTAAACTACGAGAAGAACAGATGTTTAAACAAGAACTGCATCTTGTACACTCTTGCTGGCAGAAGCTAATGCATTCATTGATGTTCTTTCATATAAATAATTTTTTACCCATTTATATGAGTATATGCCAATATATACTAGGCCTTCCTTTATTCAGTAAAATGCGGGTGAGGGCTGGTTGGTACTTTAATGGTAGAACACTGCTTAACATCAACAAAGTCTGGTACAGTCCCCATTATTCCCCCACCCCGTCCCAAAAAAGGCCAATGAATATAATATCTGTCTTTTATGGAGGTCTAAATAAGCTATATACACTAGGAAACTCCTTTAAAGTAAGTTTTTAACTTCAAGGAGTTAAGTGACAGGTTGTTGGGAACAAGATATGAGATCAGACAGATATCAACTTAATCAAGTTATACAATTTAACAGCACCAATAATAAGGATGTGATGCACTGAGACACATGCCTTAAAGCAACTCTGCCAAAAAAAAAAAAAAGTTTAATTTGAATCTAATCATGAGAATTTAATCAGACAACTCCAAACTGAGGAACATTCTTCAAAACAGCAGCCTAGATTCTTCAAATATCAACATCACTGTCACAAGGCCAATGTTGCAGACAAAGCCTAAGAAAACTGTTGTAAGGAAAATGAAAGAATCATGCCAACTAAATGCAATGCACAATTCTTAACTGGATCCTGAAGCAGAGGAAAAAAAACCTCAGCTAAAATGACATTATTGGTTAAGAGAAGAAATGTGAATATGCACTGTTTTAATAATAGTAATTACATCAGTGCTTCAGTTTCCTGGGTGTGGCAATGGTGCTGTGTTACATGAGATAATGCCCCTTTTCAGTAAGAGGTGGGATAACATGAGGGCTACAACTCTCAGGTGATACAGTAAACTGTGTGTGTGTGTGTGTGTGTGTGTGTGCGCGCGCGCGTGCGCGCGGGGTGGGGGGAGGATGTGGGTATGAATGCACTGAATGGAAAGACAGCTTGTGCATGTACAAACAAAATACAGCAAACATCACATCAAGTGGGCTGGGGTTGTGGCTCAGTGGTAGAGTATTTGCCTAGCATGCATAAGGCACTGGGTTCAATCCCCAGCAGCACATAAAAAATGAACAAATAAAAGTATTGTGTCCACCTACGATCAAAAAAAATTTTTTTAATGTTTACAAGTAACTCTAGGTAAAGGGTATAAAGGTATTTGAGTGCTACTTTTGCAACTATTCCTTAGGTCTGAAATGTTTCAACCTAAAAAGTTGAGGAAAATGGACATGTAAAATAAAGAATTCATAAGGTTAAAAAAAGTCACTGCTATAATTTATAATTGACGATATAAAATACACTTCTATTCAATGCCTTTGAGAGCTACAAAAAATCCGTCCTCTGGCATGTTGTCAACTACACACTTATAAAATGTTGATCCCTGCAGAGCAGGCACTTCTCTCCGAAGCCAAAACCTGATGTCATGAACACATTCACATGCGCTCAGACTAGAGAAACTGCCCACCCACGCAGAAGTATGAAATTCTTCTGTAAAACTTAGTACTGATTTATCGGTGCTTAAATATTCCAAATGAATTTTAAAGACTGAATTTATACTCCTAGCTACAGTTTCCTTACATAATGACTTACTGGGCTGAAACTGATTATTTGAAATTTGACCTGTAAAATCTATTTAACTTGCTGAGTCAATTTAACGAATGTGAACAACTACTGTGGAAAACCAAATTCTAAATAAACAGTACAAAATGATCTATTGACAGATTTTCCTTAAAAGCACACAAACAAAAGCCCACACAAACAGCGTCTACTAATTGCCACACAGTTAACTTACGAATGCAATGACGAACAGAATTGCTCAATTTCCATGCTCAACCTATGCTATCAATTCATGTTTTCAAAAGTTAAGCTTTGGTACAAGAAAGCTACACAGGCTTCAAAATCAGAAGTCAGCTGTAGCAACATCTCTGAAATCAACCAGCAAGCCTCCTCTTTCCAGGCCTGTTACTAAATCACTACCTACATACTAACTTTCGACCCTCAGTATTTTTAGCTATAAAGTGGAAGAAATCCTGAAAAAATCCTCAAAAAATGACACAAATGACAACAGTATCCACTTTCTTTACTCTGTGCACTAAGTTCAAGAGGAAACAAAGAGCTTTCCAGGTACACAGATGATTCCAAAGAACCAGACAAAATTAGCTTAACAGTAAATGCCTCATAAAGAACAGTTCTTAATCTTGCTATGACTATTTTTTGTTCTTTTACCTGAGGCCATCACTTCCAAACAATGGTCAAGAAGCTGTTTGCTCATACTGGGCATGGTGGCACATGCCTATAATCTCAGTAACTCAGGAGGCTGAGGCAGAAGGATCATGAGTTAAAAGCTAGTCTCAGCAACTTAACCAGGCCCTCAACAACTCAGCAAGGCCTTGTCTCTAAACAAAATATTTTTTAAAAAGGGGTTAGGGATGTGGCTCAGTGGTTAAGTATCCCTAGGTTCAATTCCTGGTACAAAAAAAAAAAAAAAAAAAAAAAGTTGTTTGCTCATAGAGCTGTTAAACTTGCTGTGACTACTTTATGTCCTTTTACCTGAGACATTATTTCCTAACAATGATCAAGAAGTTTAATTTTTTGGCAGAGCTGGAGATTAAACCCAGGGCCTCATGCCAGGCAAGTGATGTACCACTGAGCTACTGAGCTATACCCCCAACCCTGCCTGGTCAAGAAATTTTTAAATTATCATTTGGTCAAATAAATATACATGTTTAGGCCTGGTGCAATGGTGCATGCCTGTAATCCCAGCAGCTCAGGAAGTGAAGGCAGGAGGATCGCAGGTTCAGAGCCAGCCTCAGCAATTTAGCGAGGCACTAAACAACTCAATGAGACCCTGTCTTTAATAAAATATAAAATAGGGCTGGGGTTGTGTGTGGCTCAGTGGTCAAGTGCCCCTGAGTTCAATCCCTGGTACCCAAAAACAAAAATTTAAAAATAAATAAACATACATGTTTAAGAAACTTCTGAAATATGTATGTGTGTTATTTACTCAGTGGGTATTTACATCATAACTGAAGAAAAAAGAAAAACCTCAGGATAAGTTTTTCCCCTGTGCCTCCTCACTTCAGGTCCCTGGAGTGCCCTCAGAGTCTCAGGATTCTACTGAAGATGCTGGAGACCAAACTGCCAGAGGTCACACCTCATGCTTGAGGCCACACAGAACTAGAAGTGAGGCCTCTTGATCCTTCCACTACCAAACCACATTATCTACCCCAGCAGACTTCACTTTCTATAAGTTGATAGCTGAAAATTTCTTGAATGGTTTCAATAAGCCAATAACTTCTTGGGAGAAGTTGTTAGGTTGCTATAGGAGTAAAAACCACTAACTTCATCTGTTTCACTTAGGAAAATCAGAAAATCTATATGCCCACCAGTCAGGATGCTAGCCAGTTAATTTATATTTATTAAACTAACACTGTTATATTTCTATATTCAACACACATTTTCTGAATGCCTACTCTGTGGCGGATGCAGTGCTAAGCACTAGGTGAACAGATACCAGTCCCAGCCCTTATGGACTAGGGAAGTAAACAACCTTCTATTATTACCACTTACAATTATTTAAGGGAAAAGTGAACCGAGCAGCTATGAGACAAAAAAGAAGACTTATTTTGGACTGAAGAAATAGGGCGGGTAACCTTGAAAAGGGACATTCAACCTGAATAAGAGAAAGGGCAGGAGAAAAAGTATACCAGTCAGAAAGAAGAGCAACACGAAGATCTGAGGCAGGAAAGAGCTCGGAAGGGCACAGGAACTACCTATTAAGCAGGAAGCATGTGTGTGTGTGTGGTGGAGGAAGGGAGGGTGGCAAGAGATAAGGCTGGGTTAAGGCAGCAAGAGATGTATATTCCTCTAAGTGCAATGGAAGGCCACTGAAGGGTTTTATGCAGGAGGTGACCTGGTCCAGCTAAAGTTTAAGATCACTTTGGTTGTTGTGTGGAGAATAAAATGGAAAGGGTGGCAAGGGTGAAAGCCAAAAAGGCCAGTGCTAACCCAGACCACCGAAGATGGACTCCAAGGCTGGGTGGAGAAGGTGGAAAGGAATTGCATTCAAAATGTATTCTAAATTCAAATTGCATTCTAAGGTATAAATAACAAATTGGCTGTTAGGAGTGAGGAAAGAGGAAGATTTATTTATTTATTAAATCTAAGCAATCCGGCAGGTGATAAAAGCCAGAAATACACTTTGGGGAACCATTAGCATATGGATGAGTAAAATGACAGAGCAAATATGAAGAGAGGGGTTCCAGGACTAAGCCCTAAGATATCTCAACATTTAGACACAGAGCAAGGGAAGAGACAGGAAAAGATGCTGAGAAGTAGTCCAATGCACAAGGAAGTCCAGGAGTGCACGTCATAGAGTTTCTAGTTTGTCTATCAACTGCTGAGTGATCAAGACAGTTGATGCCAGAAAAAAGAATCTTTGGATTTGACAAGATGAAGTGCTCAGACCATCTTCACAGAAGCCATTTTAGTAGACAGAAACAAAGTCCAACAGAATGGTGGACAGAATAAGGGGATAAACAACACTTTAAGAAATTTCGTTGTAGGCGTGTGCAGTGGCACACACCTGTAATCCCAGTGACTCAGGACACTGAGGCAGGAGGATAGCAAGTTTGAAGCCCACTCGGCATCTTAGCAACACCCTATCTCAAACACACACACACACACAAAAAGGGCTGGGGATGTAGCTCAGTGATAAAGCACCCATGAGTTAATCTTCAAAACCCAAGCAGAAAGCAGATGGGAAGCAGAAACAGAGCTACAGGTAGATATGAATGTGGGGACAAGAGATTTTTTTAAGTTGGACAAATTAGAGCAAATTTGTATGCTGCCAGAAAATGTTCTAGAAGAGGGAGAAATAATAATGACAACTTCAGACTAGTGTATTATACAGTCAGCCCTCCTGATCTGCAGGTTCTGAATCCTTGGATTTAACCAAGTGCAGACCAAAAATATTAGCAAAAAAAGTGTCCATACTGACCTTGTGCACACTTTTGTCATTATTCCCTATGCAATACAACTACTGCCATAGCATTTACTAGTACTGTGTAAGTAACCCAAAGATGATTTAAAGACTATGGGAGGACGTGCAATTATAATTCCCCAGCAAATTCTGCGCCATTTATGTGCCATGTTGAGTGTCCCCGGATCTGAGGAATCTGCAGAAAGGAGACTACGGGTGTCTTTCAAGTCACAGTTTAGACCTCATAAGTGGGTTAAAAACTTTGGTGGGTCGATACTTTCAGTAAGAGAATAGATGACGTCAGAATATTGCAGCCGGACAAGTGTTGGTTCGGGAAACTTTCACTTTTCAGTAACAGATGACGTCAAAGTACCGCAGCCGGACAAGTGTTGGTTCGGGAAACTTTCTCTTTGAGTTGCACGAACACAGTGTCAAAAGAAAAAAGCAGGGGCTGCAGGCGCGGCTCGGGTCCCCCCATCGGGCCTTGGGACTGACGCCCGCGCCGGGGACGGTCTGAGACGCGCGGTTCACCTGCGCACGCAGCAGGAGGCCCGCGCACCTGGAACGCGTCGCGGGCCCGCGGACCCGAAGGCCGCCGCCAAGGAGTCCGGGGCTTGCCGCCCCGCCCCGCCGCGCTGCCCACTCCGCCAGGGTCCCAGGGCGGCTTACACTTCCATGCTGTCCGGCCTCACGACGGCGGCCACTCGCCGCGCTGCCGCTTCTGCAATGAAGGGCCTCGGGCTCCGCGCGCCGCAATGCAGGCCGGGAGGGACGCGGTGCACGGCGGGAGCGCGCGGTGCACGGCGGGAGCGCGAGGTGCACGCCGGGAGGGCCGCGCTGCGCCGAGCCGGACCTCGCGCTGCACGTCGGGGGCGGGCGCCGCACGCCGTCCGCACTACTGCGCGTCAGAGCCGTCGGGAGCGCGCGCCCCAGCTATTCGGGTGGACTCTGCCTTTCGCCCAGCCAGAGTCCTGCCCCGTCCGTGGCTGGGCCTTGTATGCGCGGTCCAGGTTTCATTAGAGCTCTGACAAGCCGGCCCCGTGCGAGCCGTAGCAGCCGCGGGACCCTTCCCAGGAAAGAGGCTGGGTTCGTGGCGCTGTGCGGCGTGGGGAAGCCGGGAGCCCGGGGCGGGAGAGTGGGCAGTGCACTGCGCTTTTCTGCTTGTTAGTTGGGTTAAATGTTAAAGAAATCTCCTGCAGTCGAGGAAGCAGCGCGATCGAGGGGTAGCTCAGTTACACACGCTGAAACATGGGAGGGCCCAGATCTGTAGCGAATTCCGCGGCAATTGGTATTCTCCATACTTGAATGTGCCGCATGTGCACTGGGGGGAAAGAAAATACCATGGCGCGCTGTAATCGCCGTATCGCACGTGGAAAATACAATGCCTTAAATAAAACTATGTAAAATTGGCAAGCCAGCGCGGTGGCACACGCCTGGAGTTCCAGAAGCTCAGGAGGCTGAGGCAGGAGGATCGCGACTCGGCAAGACCCTGCAGCGGGTGTGGCGCAGTGGTTAAGCCCTGGTTCAGACCTCCCCACCAAAAAAAAGGGCATAGAAAACAAATGACTAGGGATAGGGAGAGTCGGGTGGAGGCTAGTGTCCTCATCTCACTACTTTTTGTGTGTTTGGAATTTTCCCCTTGGGAAGTGAGGCGGCGCCAGCGGTCTCCGAAGGATGAGTCCAGGCCGTCGGGGGGCTTTTCATGCTTTCCTGTCCCGACCTTTGCCAGTACTTAGTACCCGTTCCTCTGAGAGGACCGTTCACAGAGCTGGGGTGCAGCCCAGGGCCTTGCCCCTGGCAGCCCACCATCTGCCCTTCTTGTGATCCTCTGGCCTCAGCCCCGGGCTGTAAGCCGCAGGTGCTGGGCACGCCACAGGTTGCTCACAGGTGCTGACACTGTCGCAGGACGATCATGACACGCTATGAGTAGATCCACAACTATGCATATTTTGTAATTGGAGCAATCGAGGCAGGCTTGGAAAGACTGATTTACCCAAGGTCACTCAGCCGGAATTTGTCCCAGAGAAATTGAACCCCAGGTGATCTGAACAACATAAGTAGTGTCTGATGATAGGATAAACAAAATGTTCCAGATTCATACAGTGGAATACTATTCATCAATAAAAAAGGATGAAGTACTGTCAAATGCTACTGCACAGATGACCCTCAAGACATGACCCTAAGGGAAGGAAGCTAACATAACAGGACCACATCTGGAATGATTCCATACATGAAACGTCCAGGAATAGGCAAGTCTACAGAGACAGAAAGTGGATGAGTGGCCAGTAAAGGTTAGGAGGAGGCCGGGGCCAGAGAAGTGGATTGACAGTGGAAACAGTTTCTTTGTGGGGAGATAAGAATGCCCTGAAATGGGGCTGGGGTTGTGGCTCAGTGGTAGAGCACTGCCTACCATACATGAAGTACTGGGTTCGATCCTCAGATCCACATAAAAATAAAGGTATTGTGTCCACCTACAACTAAAAATATGTATATATTTTTAAAATGCCCTAAAATTTTGGGGGGATTATTACACAACCCTAAACAATGAGTTGTACACCTTAAGTGGGTGAACTGTATGGTGTATGAATTATGTATATCAGTAAAACAAAAATTGTACTGATAAAGTTGTGTCTGGGAAATTGATTAGAAGAAAGGATTTTTAACATTTAATTTTGTATACTCTGTATTTAAGATTTTCAATGAACATGTTATTTGAAGCTTCAAAAACGTTTTAAAATTAATTTACTTTTAATGACTTTTAAAGTCAACCATTGAATAAAATAGCCCCCAGCCCAGCGGGGTGGGTTTGCATGGGTCCCCGAGCCTCCAGGCCTCCAGAGCAGTGCTGAGGAGGCTCCCTGCATTCTGCTCACCTGTGGTGACAGCTGTCAGATGCAGATGTCACAAGCATGAGTGACACCCTCTGCCCTGGCCCCCTGACGGCCTGGTTGAGGAACCAGCTCTGGACACAGATAACCCCACACACCAGGTTTGACCCCATGGGCAGGGAAGGTGTGACTAATGGGGCAGGAGGCGTCCCCACGCCAGGCGTGTTAGAGGTGGGGGGGGGGGAGCTCCTGTGGAAGAGAGCAGGTGCCTCAGGGCACCCGAGACAGCCAGGGGTGGCTCAGGGTGGGGATTAGAGAAGGGTCAAGTTCAAGTGGTGCCTGCCTGGGTACCTGCATACCTAGGCACCTGCATAGCTGGGTACTTGCCTGAGTGGGCACCTACTCAGCTGGGTACCTGCCCACATGGGCTGCCTACCTAGGCACCTGTCTGCCTGAGCACCTGCCTGCCTAGGCACCTGCCCACCTGTGCCGCCTCGGTACCTGCCACTCAGGCATCTACTTGTCTGGGCACCTGCCCATCTGTGCCCTCCTGGGTACCTGCCTACTTAGGCACCTGCCCACCTGGGTACCTGCCACTCAGGCAT